ACAGGGGAGGACCAGCACATCAGCTCGGCACCCCTCTCCTGGCTCACGCTTAACAAGGTCCTGCACACCAAGCGGGGCAAACTACCTAAGAGGAGTAGGAGGTTTGTCAAGGGGCTCCGTACGGGGGCACACTGGCGCCAACACAGGGTCAACAGGGCTTTAAACGGATAACTTGCGGAGTGTCTTCGGTGTGTGACTGCCAAGGGGACCTTGTTCCATCGGTTTTTCGTCTGCGACGCGTTCCATACCTTTATGCTGGCTCCCCGAGGTCCTCAAGGTCCCAATCAGGAGAATCAGAGACAGGCCAGAGAGTGCTTAGCAGCTGTTCTCCAAGGGGGTCCTATCTGACCCTGCTGAAGCCTTCTCTCATCAGGGGAGAAAGCGGATTCACAACTTCGGCGACATGGATCGTAATCGTATGACTTCGTTGCAAAATTCCCAAAACGGTGCTTGCACTCAGGGGTGGTTACTCCTTTCCTGAGGAACTGGGCCTGCCCGTCGGTATGGCGGCTATATGGTCGCCGTCGCCGCCTCGTAGCCGCTCGTCTTCTGGGCCTGCCCATCGGTCTGACGGCTGTGGTCGCCGCCGCCGCCCCGTCGGTCTGGCGGCTATGTGGTCGCCGTCGCCGCTCCATCGCCGTCTGGGGCTGCGTTACGTTGCATTGCGTTGCGTTGCGTCATTGCACCTTACATTACGTTCCCCAGAATGTGCTTGCATTTTAAGGAACTGGGCCTGCGGGCCGCTCCGGCCGCAATGTGGCCGCCATCGCCGCCTCGTCGCCGCCTGCCGCCTCGTCGCAACCCGGTTCGCATTGCTTCGCATTGTCTTGCATTGTTTCGCATTGATTTGCATTGCTTTGCGTTGCCTGGCATTGCTTTGCATACATTTGCATTGCCCTGCATTGCCTTGCACTGCATTGCGTTAATTCGTGCTGCTTGGCGTCGTTGCATTGCAACCACACTGACTTGCAATCGGAGTGTATTGTACTGCGTTGCACTAATGTGGACTGATGTGCATTGCTGCGCCGTGCTTTGTGTTGCTATGCAATGCTTTGCATTGTGTTGCATCGCTTGGCGTTGGTTTGCACTGCATTGCATAGATTTACATTGCTTTGAATTGCTTTGCAGTGACATTCACTGCGTTGAATTGATTTGTGGTGCGTTGCATTGCTTTGCATTGCTTGGCATTGGTTTACATTGACTGACATTGCTCTGCATTAGTGTGCATTGCGTTGCGTTGATGTGCATTGGTTTGCGTTACGGCGCATTGCATTACATTGATGTGCATTGTCTTACATTGCGTTGCCTTGCTTGGCATTGCCGTGCGTTGCATTGCTTCCTTGCACTGTTTCTCACTGTTGTTCATTGCTTTGCATTGGTCTGCACTGCTTTGCATTGCTTCGCATTGCTTTGCATTGACGCCGTTCCGCTCCTGAGGACAACTTGCGCCACGCAGCTTGCACCACATAAATTGCATAAGATAGAATGCTAGGAACCTTTGTGTGGGGTCCACGCTGGCTAACATGGATTTGTCTTCACCGACGGCAGTGGGTTTCTGACTGACAATATGTATGTTCGGTGTGCTGGTGGGCGATTGTGGCCGACGATTCGGAAAGGAGACTGGCTGCTAGATACGATGGGTCGGCGCCACTGCAGATATGCGCGACTCGAACAGCGAAGGACGAGGACTACGCGATGTTGATGATCAATGAGATGATCCTCGGGACCGTTACTACCAACGCGGACTGCATACCGACGCTGGCCTGTTGTCGGCACCTTCCAACAGCAGGCGTAGCCCACGACATGAGAGCCATCCTGTGGCAGCAGGTGGCTACCAATAAGTTCAGATCTCAGAATGTTGTGCACATCAAGGGTCATGCCAGGATGACGTACGTCCGCGAAGGAGTGTGATTCGAGTTTCAGAAGACTGGGCATGAGACTGCGGATCTGCTTGCCAAACGTGGTGCAGCGGTGAACCTGCCGGCTGACGATCACGTTAACTTTGTACGAGGCTGTCGGAGGCTGTACCTTGCCTTCAACTTCCAGTCGTGGCGGGACGACTTGTGTGCTAGCAGGCTCGATTACCAATTTCCTGAAAAGGTCTGGGACGATCAAGCCCAGCCGACTGGGACGATCGGTCAGCCCAGACGATCTGAGCCTCCGATGGCGGCGAGCCCTGCTGTTGACGACGATGTATTATTGGAACCGTTGGAGGTTGCAGGCCCTTGTATTCTGGAGTTCCCCATGGTGGACTCACAGCATGCCTTACTCTTCTGCACCTCCTGCTGTCAGTACTTGGCCACAGACTCTAAGGACCGCCGAGGGTTGCCAGGAGAGTGCAATGACCGAAGCATCAGCGGACGGATTGTGGAGAGCGCGAGGCAGTCGTATATTCGGAGGCACCCAGCCAGCAGCAAAAAGGACATACGGCTTGAAACCCCCCGATGTCTAAATGCCTTCGCCGAAGACCTGTCCTGCACTGCCAAGCGGATTGATGAAGTTTCGCGTCCAGGGCATAGCGGTCTAGGAGGGCCGCAGAGAAGAAGTCGCCTGCTGGGCACGACCAAGATTTGTGAGGCGTACGGTCTGACCTGCCGCGCGGCGGTAGATCTCCGGCAGGTGCCTGAGGATGATGATGACATGCTAGTTGAATCCGACAAGCTAGTTGAATCCGGCTAAATCACATGGATTTCGGAGGCCAGCGGTGCAGGTGACATCTCGTTTTCTGCCCGTGAGGCTCACATCGCCACCGTTGCCCGACCTAGGGGACCAAGGGCCCGGGTGCTGGACTTGTCGCACCCGGGCGTCTGAGCGCCCCCTGGGCGGGAGGCATTGCTGGGGTTTGGCTCGAACTGGCCTGAAAGGGGTGCCGACCATTTGCGTGAGCATGTCGCCTTGGATGGTCGCAGACTCTGTCTTTGTCCGCGACCCCTTCGTGTCCCTGCTGGTGTGCCAGGCGCTGGCGCTGGGCAACCTGTGGGCCCTGGGACTGCAGCTCGACCACGTCCAGCTGTAGAGCGACAGCCTCGCGCAGGCCCGCCCTCCGCTTGTTCGTGCCGAACCGTGGCTTGGCTCCTGCCCATGGCCTGGGAGTCCCCTGTACTTGGGCGGGGACGTGCGGTGCGGCTGACGGCACCTCTCCCGAACCAGTGGACTCTTGCCCTATCTATTCGGTTCTGTTCTGCTCCCCTCAGCGACCTCAACGACCTTGAGTGTGCCTGATCCTCCTCCTCCTCCTCCTCCTCCTCCTCCTCCTCCTCCTCCTCCTCCTCCCCTAGCACCATCATCATCATCATCATCATCATCATCATCATCATCATCAGCATCATCAGCATCATCATCATCATCATCATCATCATCATCATCATCATCATCATCATCATCATCATCATCATCATCATCATCATTATTATCATCGTCATCATCATCATCAGCATCATCATCATCATTATCATCACCACCACCACCATCATCATCATCATCACCACGACCACCAATACCACTTTCATCATCAACATCATCATCACCTTCAGCATCAGCATCAGCATCATCATCATCAGCATCATCGTCGTCATCATCATCGTCATCCGTATCGTCATCATCAACAACATTATCATTATCATCTGCATCGTCATCTTCATCGTCATCATCACCATCATCACCACCATCATCATCATCATCATCATCATCATCATCAGTACCTTCATAGTCATCTTCATCTTCATCATCATCCTCGTTATCATCGTCGTCAGCCTCATCATCGCCACCATCATCATCATCATCATCATCATCATCATCATCATCATCATCATTATCATCATCATCATCAGCATTATCATCGTCATCATCGTCGTCGTGATCAGCATCGCCATTCTCATCACAATCATTATCATCATCCTCAGCAACTGCAGCAGTCTCATCATCATCATCGTCAGTAGCATCAGCATCATCATCATCATCATCGTCGTCATCATAATCCGCATCACCATCAGCAGCATATCATCACCATCACCATCATCATCATCATCGTCATCATCATGAACAACATCATCATCAGCATCATCATCATCTTCTTCAGCGTCGTCATCATCTTAATCCGCAGCATCAGTATCGCCACCGTCCCCGCAATCGTCGTCATCGTCACCATCACCATCATCATCATCATCAGCATCATCAGCATCAGCATCAGCATCAGCATCAGCATCATCATCATCAGCAGCAGCAGCATCATCATCATCATCATCATCATCATCATCATCATCATCATCATCATCATCATCTGCAAATTCATATTTATCTTCATCGTCATCAGCAGCAGCAGTAGCATCATTATCATCACCATCATCAGCACCACCACCACGACCATCATCTCCATGATCATGTTCTTCTTCATCACAATCATCGCCATCATCAACATCAACATCAGCATCAGCATCATCATCATCATCCTGTCGTCATCATCAGCATCATCAGCAGCATCATAATGATCAGCATCATCATCATCATCATCATCAGCATCATCATCATCATCATCATCATCGTCAACATCATCATCATCATCATCATCATCATCATCATCATCATCATCATCATCATGATCGGCATCATCCTGCACTTCGTCTCCTTTACCACATCCTCCTCGTTCTCGGCAGCGGGTTGCGCAGCATCCTCGGGGTAATAGTGACAGCAGCGATACCTCCTCTTCCCCTCCGACGCTTCATCCTCCTCCTCATGGTTCTTATCATCATCATCCGCCTCATCCTCCTCCTCATGCTCCATCACCATCGTTATCAGAATCGTGGTCGTCATTGTCGTCATCATCATCACCATCAGTGGCACGAGTACCATCATCAGATACAGTATCATCATCATCATCATCATCATCATCATCATCATCATCAGCAGCAGCAGCAGCAGCAGCATCATCAGCATCAGCATCAGTATCAGCATCACAATCATCATCATCCTCATCCTCATCATCATAATCAGCATCATCATCATCGTCAGAGTCATCATCATCAATTATCAGCCTCAGCATCATCCTCGTCATGATCAACATCATCATCACCATAAATCATCATCGTCGTCGCCATCACTATCATCATCATCATCACCACCACCACCATCATCATCATCATCATCATCATCATCATCATCATCATCATCATCATCATTAGCCAGCTTACTCCGCATCCCATCCCCTCCTCCCCCTACGCCTCTGCCACCCCCCGCCCCCCTCGTATCCCTGCTGTTCCTCCCCCCCCTCCCTCCCTCCAAAGAGCAGGGAAGGGGATGGTGATGTTGGTCAATGTGGGAAGGAGCAGGGGAGCGGAGGGGACGGAGGAGAGGAAGGGAGGGAGGGAGGGATAGAGAGAGAGAGGATAGGAAAGATGAGGTAAGAAGGTGAGGAAGGGGAGGGGGGGGCGGGGGCTGCCCAAAGCGATATCAATCCTGAGAAAGCCCCGCGGCCCAGCCACCCGAGAGGTCCTGTCGATCTCAACCGCCAGCGCCCTCTGCACCGCAGCCAGGGTCTCGCGCGTCCAGCCGCCGCCGACGCCGCTGCCCCCTCTTCCCCCGGTGTCGTCTGGCCCGTCCCTTTTCATTACATTATTCCTCGACGTCCTCTTCCACCTCCCCTCCCCCTCCTCCACACCACGTACAGTAATCCACGCGACGCAAAGGCGAAAACCAAAGCCGCCTCATCCTTGCAAGTGCTGCATATATCGCAAGGCGAATGCGCGCTGTGCTGAAGCGAAGCACTTGGAGACGAGTTCCCCCCTCCATTGCTGTGGGTGCTGCGAGTTCCAAACGTCAGGAACAGGTTAGCCAACGTGGGATCAAAACAGCGTGATCTAGCATACCCTGTGGTGTACGCAATTTGATGCACCGTGTGTAGTGTCAGCTACGTAGCGCGCGTGGTGCAACATAGGCGGTGTAATATACGTGGTGCAATGTATGTGGTGCAAACTACGTGGTGAGTTTTATGTGGTGCACCATATGTGGTACAATATCCATGGTGCAAGGAAAAGAAAGGTACAATCGACGCGAAGCAATCAATATATGTTGTGCAACCTTTTGCGGCGCATGCGGTGCTGACTGCGCGGTGCTAAATGTGGTAGACCTTGTGTGCGCGTGTTACGTGATGCAATATACGTGATGCAGTCTATGTCGCGCAGCCTACGTGGTACGATATACGTGGTGCAACTAATTGTGGAAAGTTCGAATTCGTCAATTCCACTGCTCGCGCATCCACCCCACCCGCCCACCCGCAATTTAGGTTGTAGAACCCATGCGGCGGCGATTGCGATGAGTGTTTGGTGTTGGCTGGTGCATCACTGCGGCCGCGCTAGCCCGCGCACGCTCGCGCGCACAGCGGCCAGCTAACCTGCCGCGACCGACGCGGCCGCAGTGGCGCTGACCGCTGGGCACTTCCCACCGGCACTTCAGTGCGTGTCGGTGACTTGGGCGGGCGTTGTATCATGGCGACGTCGACAGCGGTAGACACGATGGTGATCGTAGCGATGAAGGTGACGAAGGTGACAACGACGACGACAAAGCCAATGACCGATGCCGATCATGCCGATGACGATGACGATATCCTCTCGTCGGTGACTCTTGAAAGAATTCGACAAGCGCGCGCGGCCAACGCGCATGAGTGGCCCGCATTGTATATGTCACAAGTATCGCGCCCGCCCCCCCCCCCACAAAAAAACAAAAGAAAAAAAAAAAACACGCGCAGGGCCGTTCCAATGATTTCGACGTGCGGCACGAGAAAAACGCGTGGTTGAATATATTTTCTAACTTGGGAAGCCAGTTGTTTCCTTACGAATTCGAAAGAGCGCGCGCGCAATCTTTTTGAAAACTGCAGTTGCAAAGCCAAATGTGTTTACGTGTTTTCGGGGCAACGAAAAATGTTTGAAGGATTGCGGCATGCGCGCGCGACGCGCACGAGTGCACCCCGTCACATTAGTTGCGAAGGATTCTTGCGACAGCACTCGCGAAACGGCGTTCGAACAACTTCGAAATGCGCGCGCGAAGCACCTTTGATAGCATGTGGTGAACATGTTCAGAAAAATCTGTTTAAGGAGCAAGAGCGCGAGCGAATGCCTTTTTTGAAGGTTTCACTTGTCAAACTACTGGCGGTTTAGAAGAAGCTTTCGCAACATTCGGCTTTGATTTTTTACGGAATCTACGGTGTTTGTAAGATTTCGACACGCACTCGCGCGCGACGACGCGCGCGCGCGCACTTCGTCCCATTGGTTGCAAGGGGTTCTTGCGACAGCACGCCCGCAAGGGCGTTCTTGCGATTCCGACATGCGCGCGCGAAACGCCCGTGTGGTAGAATGCGATGAATATTGGGGGAACGATGGCTTTCTCGAAAATTCACAAGAGCACGAGCGAATGCTTGTTGGAAGCTCATGTTGCGAGACCATTGGTGTGTATAAGTTTTCGCAACACTCAATTTTGAAATCCCTGCGAATCCGCATGCTCGCGCGACAACGCGCGCGCGCACTTCGTCCAATGTGTTACTCCTGGGAACTGATGGTTTTTATAAACGAGTGCGCGCGCATTCTTCTTCGGCAGAGGATGAGGGGGAGGCGGTAATGGGACTGTTTGGGATGACATGAGTTCATAGTCAGGACGTGCGATGGGGCAGAATCACATGTAAATTCCAATGTAAAAACGTAAGGGGGTAATTCCAAGGGGGTATATCCGAATACTGTTTTTAAAAAGAGACTATATGCGGCATGGGCTCCTTGTGTAAGCTACGCGGTGTAAGCTATGTGAGCTATGTCGTGCACGCTATGTGGTGTAAGCTACGTGGTGCAACTTTTTTCACAAGCGAATCAACACATGCAATGCTCTTGCAACAACAAAAACCTAAAACGACCAACCCACCCGCAACTTCATTTGCAAAACCCACGCGGTCGCGATTGCGATGCGTGTTTGGCGTTGGCTGGTGCATCTCTGCGGCCGCGCTGGCCCGCGCGCGCTCGCGCGCACAGCGGCCAGCTAATCTGCCGCGACCGTCGCGGCCGCGGTGGCGCTGACCGGTGGGCACTTCCCAGCGGGCACTTACCACCGGGCACTTCAACGCGAGTCGGTGACTCGGGCGGGCGCTGTATCACGGCGACGCCGCCAAAGGTAGACACGCTTATGAGTAGCGATGATGGTGGCGAGGGTGCGATGTTCATCACGCCCATCGATAACGATGACGATATCCTCGCGTCGGCGATGAAGGTTTTTGAATTAGTTCAACATGCGCGGTCAGCCGACGCGTGCAAGTGGCCCACGTGGTGTTATTTGACACGGATCGTGCCCCCCCCGCACGCGCGCAAAAGCGTTCGAATGAAATCGGCATGCGGCATTTGGCAGAATTCCATTGAAATATTGAGAAACTATGGTGTTAGTAAGATTTCGCCAGACCGCGAGCGCAGGCTTGTTGGAAAACTCATGCTGCAAAACCATGTGTTTATCTGCGTTCGGGACTCGTTTTTGAAATCCTGCCTCGCAATGCCGCCGTCTTCCCCCCAGACCCCCAACGTCATGATTTTTGCACCACGTCGACCTCCAAAGGTCTCGACCCATTCCCCTGGACCGGTCTTGCAGCCCGAGTCGCTCCTTGACCGCCCCGAGGCCCGCTGAGGGAGCCCCAGAGGCCGAACATAGCGACAAACCGCCCGTCGTGATTTTTAGAGGAACACAAAGCGGCATAAACATAAACTGTTGACGGTCCGCGCGGATTTCTTGGATCTGCACTGGACCCCCCTCCCTGGCGCGCGGAGCGCGCCAGGGGCGGCGCCGCAGGCGCTGCCACGGGGGTCCCAGCGCAGATCCAAGAAACCCGCGCGGACCGCCGAAAGTTCATGTGTATGCCGTTTTGCTGCTCCTCCAAGAATCACGACGGGCGGTCTGTCGCTGTTTTTGGGCCTCTGAGGCAAGGGGAGTTCTGTCACTGCTCGAGGGGATCTGGGCCCACCGCCGCCTCCTCCTGGGGGCCCCGCCTCCAGGCCCTGCGCCTCCCCGAGCTTCGCGCCGCCGAGCAGCGCGGGCGAGGCGGCCGCGCGCGCGCTGGAGGCGGCCGCCATGGGCGCCCCCCGCGCGGCGAGCGGGCGCGCGCCCGGGAGGGGCGCGACCTGCGCCAAGACGAAGCCAGGACGGGGACGAATTCGGGCGAGGATGCATACAGAATTGCTGACGCTTCGCGAATCCCCACCAGTCCGCCGACTCTGGCTGGCGACGAATTGTCTTGCAATTAGCCCCGTACCATGACCCGGACGCCGCTTCCGCTCCCTGTCCGTTGCCTTGGAGCCGCTGACCAAAAAAAAGAATCCCCACCAGCCCATCCAGAAGCGATGCCCCGAGGAATTGCCTCGATCAGGGAAGTGGGCAGCACACAGAGGAAGACATTATGAGATATCTTGAGCCATCTTGGAGGTCATGTGGGGCTCTCCCAGGCGCTCCTGGAGTAATCTTAATCAGTGCCCCCCCCAAGAGGCCAATATGTTGTTAGAACCTTCGTAAAATCAATGATTTGGCATTCTCGCCGAGGTTTCTTGGAGCATCTTGGGTGCCTCTGGGGGGTCTCTTGGGGCCTCTTGGGGGTCTCTTGGGAGCCTTTTGGGGGCCTCCTGTGGGCCTCTTGGGGGCCTCTTGGGGCCATCTTGGGGCCATCTTGGGACCTCTTGGGGCCTCCTGGGCGCTTCCTGGGGCCATCTTGCGGAGATCGATCAAACAAGAGGGGAGCTTTAAATAGGCCCCCCCTCAGGAGGCCAAAATGAGGCCAAAACTCGGGTAAAACCAATGAGTTTGACGCGTCGACGATGCGGCGCGACTCTTCGACCCCATCTGCTGGGACCCCATTCTGAAGGCCTAGATCCGCCAGGACCCCAGGCGGAGCTTTTGCGCGCAGAGTTCGAGCTGAGGCCACGCCCTCACGCGCGTCCGCCCCTCGTGCACTGCATTCCACTCACAGGTAGACCTGGCCCGCGGGCGCGCGCCCAAGGAGCCCGCCAGCATCGCCCTGCAGCAGCAGCGGTGCGGGCGCGCGGCGCATGGCCTCCACTCCGGGCGCGGGGTGCTGAGGCACCCTCGGTGGCGGCACCGACCGCTCCATCGGTGACACGGAGCGCCGCGCCTGCGCGTGCCCGTGGGCCCACGTGGGAGACACTGGCGCCGCGGCGCTGTACGCCCGCGCAGGCGGCCTCTGCTCGGCGCCACACATGGGGCCCGGGCTGCACGCCCGCGCGTTGGCGCACTGCGCGCCGTAGGGGCTCGCTGCGCTGCCATGCGCTGTGCCGCCGATGGAGGCCCGCGTCTGCGGCGAGAACGAGCGCGCCGCCGCCGGCCAGCCGGGCGCGCCCACGGGGGGCCACGGCGCTGCTCCAGACGAGGCCTGCGCTGGCTGTGGTGACGGGGAGCGCGAGACCGCCCGCGCGGGCGGCGCCCACTGCGGCGCGACCGCGTGCGGTGGCGGCACAGAGGAGCGCAGCTGCGCGGGCTGCCCGCCTGCCATGGCCGGCACGCCGTGGGGCGAGAAGGTGCCCGCGGGGTGCACGCCGGCCGCTGGGACGAAGCTGCCCTGTGGGGAGAGCGGCTGCCTGTGCGGCTGAGGCCCCTGGGGCTGCGGGCAGCCGCCGGGGCCGTAATAAGCATTGCTCCGCCTCTGCAGGGGCACGTCGCCGCGGTGGGCGGGCGAGCGGTGGCCCGAGCCGACGGGCTCTGGCGTGCTGGGATCTGGCGCGAGGCCCTGCAGCTGAGGATTCGCCCGCTGCGCGTGCGGCGACAGCGGCTGCTGCTGCCCCGCGTGGCCTGGCACAGGCCCCAGCGCCGGGCCGGGCGCCGAGGCAGCGGCTGCGGCCGCGCGCGATGCGAGGTTGTGGCACGGGGTGGCCACGCGCATCGCGCCCGAGAACACGGGGCCGTGCAGCACGCTCTGTCGAGAGTCCGACAGGGGCCTGCCATGGCCACAGCCCGGGTCGGCGGCCTTGCTACCAGCCGCCTCCGGGGCACTCCGCCGCTGCGGGTGCTGTGGCCACTGCGGGCCCGAAGGGCACGGCGCAGGGCCGGCGTGCCCGGGCGCGGGCGCCTGCAGGGGGATCGGCGCGGGCAGGGGCTGGTAGGAAGCCTGGGGCTGCAGCGCGGGCGGCGGGGGCTGGCAGGACGTCTGTCGGCGGCGAGCGAGGGGGGGAAGTGAGGAGGAGAAGGCATTCTCAGAAGGCGGCGGGACTTCTCAAAGAAGCCCTCTGGCCTTCCGAGCAGTTCTCTGCGTCTTCGGGGAAGGCTCAGAAAACTTCTCCGAAGGCTGCGGGACTCTCCCCAGCCTTCTGAGAAGGCCCGCCCCTTCTCGCTTCCCCCCTGGGCTCGCCGCCGAGCCTGGGGCTGCAGCGCGGGCGGCGGGGGCTGGTAGGACGCCTGCGGCTGCAGCGCGGGCGGCGCGTTGCGAGAGGCCACCGGCGGGGGCGGGCCCACGGCGCTGCTGCCGCGCGGCACCTCGATGCGGGGGAGGCGGAGGGACGCCAGCTGCACACCAGCGCCGATCCTGGGCAAGCCCACCCTGTGAGGCGCAGGACCGGCGCAGGCGTCCAGGATCGATGCCGGCACGCTGTCTGGCGCGCCCCCAAAACGAGGGCACGAAACGCCGAGGAGGGCGGTGCTGCGGAGGGTCCAGACCCCCGGCGTCATGCTTTTGTTCACGGCTTGGACCCCCAGAGGTCTGGACCCCTTCCCGGGGACCGGCTTTTCATCCCGAGTCGTTTTTGGACCGTCCCAGAGCCGACTAGAAAACAAACGACACCACCCCACCCACGGCCCCATGGGGCTTAGCGTATACCAGGAGATCTGGCGTGGGTTTTTGCGTGGTGTACGCTTCGGTGCCCGATGGGCCGTAGCGCAACATGGAGGGCCGCAGGCGGGGTGGTGTCGTTGGCTTCTTGGGTCGAAGGGCACCAGGAGACCGAAAACGGCACGAAGCCTTCCGTCATGGCTTTCTCCTGGCCCGATTGGGGGGGTCTGGCGACGTGCTCCTGGCCCGGCGGGCCTCGAATTCGTGGCCGGGCGCAGCCTGCGGCGCCGAGAGGGCCTTCACGCACGAGCCGGGGCTCCAGCTGTGCAGGGAGACCGCGCTGCCACCCCCCGCCCCGGGGGGGCTTGGGCCTCGGAAGCATGCCACGCGAGGCCAGGGCCGATAGGCAGCCTGGCCACGATCCAGCAGGCAGGCCTGAGCCGGATCGGATCGCGAAGTCGGGTCGGATGGGAAACCCGGATCGAATCGAGATCGAAGCAGATCGGAATCGCGTGCCCAGACCGCGAATCAAGTCGCATGGGATCAGATCGTAGGCGGCCATGGCAGGCCCGACCCATTCAGAGCGCGCTCCACCCAGCCGATCCAGAGCCCGACCGATCGCCCCGACCCGGGTCGATCCACGGATCGACCAGATCAGCGGCCTGACCAAGCACTGATCATAGAAGAAGAAGAGGAAGAGGAAGAAGAACAAGATGAAGAATAAGACGAGAAAGAAGAAGAAGAAGAAGAAAAGAAGAGGAGGAAAAGAAGAAGAGGAGAAAGAAGAAAAATGGCAGAGGCATAAACTTTCGAAGCTCCGCGCGGATTTCTTGGATCGGCGCTGGGCCTCCTCCCGGATACGCGGAGCGCGCCAGGAGCGGCGCCCGAGGCGCTGCCAGGGGGGGGGCCCAGCGCAGGTCCAGGAGGTCCGCGCGGAGCTCCGAAAGTTTCTGTGCATGCCGTCCTGTTTGTTCTTCGAGGATCGGCCAGATCGGCAGCCCGATCGAGCTCTGACCAGCGGATCAGGGGCTGTCTGGGGCTCGGGCTGGCCGCGCGAATTGGTGGCATCGGGGGAGGCACCGTCGTGGCCTCGGGGGGAGGAAGCCGGCGAAGAAGTGGGAGGAGCATGATGACGACGACGACGACGACGACGACGACGACGACGACGACGACGACGACAAGGACGAGGAGGAGGGCGGGGGCGAGGGAGAAGGCGATGACCAGGACGAGGACGAGCAGGAGGAGAGTACAGGAGTAGAAGGAGGACGAGGGAGACGAGGACAAGGACGAGGGAGAGGGCGAGGATCTGGATGAGGACGAGGGCGACGGCGAGGGTGAAGGCGAGGGCGACGGCGAGGGAGAAGAGGAGGAGGAGGAGGCAGAGGAGGAGGAAGACGAGAAGAGAGAGAGTGTGAGAGAGAAGATGTGATAGAGATAGGGAGAGAGAAAGAGAGAGAGAGAGAGAGAGAGAGAAACGATGCGGACCCACGGGTCTGGGCGCAGCTCTGCAAGCCGCGCGTGAGCCCCACGCTTAGGGCTGGCGAAAAGCACATTGGGGCGAGAGAAGCAGAGGAGATCCTGAGGAAGATGCAACTATGCACACATGTGCTGCTCCAGGCGCTTATGAAAAAACAAAAAAAAAACTTACAACAAACAACGTTCTGGAGCACCCTGAACAAAACGGAGTCGCACAAGCTCGGCGCCCTAGAAGACGCACGACTGATGTCTGGACAAGGGTCCCGAGCGCCAAGCAGAGCAAGACCACTGGGGAACCCACGGAGAGGACGCCGAGAAGGAAGAAAGCCCAGCACGAATTACTCCTCGCGGGGGGATGGCGTAGGCGGCGAGCCAAGCCGGGAGCCCCGCGGGACGCTGGTGGGCGAAAGTTTGGGGGGGAGCCCTTCGGTGGCAACTCTTGCGAATCGACGCTAATCGACGCTAAATCGACGCCAGTCGACGCTAAATCGGCGCCAACCGGCGCTTGCCGACCGCCAATCGAAGCGACTCGACGCCAAAGACGGAACTCGGCGGGCATCCCGGGCTCCCGAGGACCCGCTGCCGGAGAACCCCGCCGGGGACGCTGGCGGCCGGGCGGCTGGCTCGGCCCGCTGCCAGACAGAGCAGCGCGAGCAGCGAGGGGCCCGCGGGCGGAGGCCGCGAGAGCGGCCCGCCTGCGCGCCTCGGCCTCGACGCCCGCGCGAGCGCCCGACCAGCGGCGCCGCGCGGCGCGGGAGCTCACGCGCCGTGGCGCGGTCTTGCAGGGGAAGGCCGTGGGCCGAGCCCACGGAGGACGCTCCGCGGGGGCCTCTCGCCGCGGCGACAGAGGCAGGGTAGCAGCCGCGCGGGGATGGCTGGGCTGCCACACGGGGCGGCGGGCGTGAGAGGGGCAGCGTCGCGGTTGCGGGTTGCGGAATCCACTTCCCGGCCCGAACGGATCCTCCGCCTCCTCCTCCGCCTCCTCCTCCTCCTCCTCCTCCTCCTCCTGCTGCTCCTCCTCCTCCGACCGAGAGAGAGAGAGAGAGAGAGAGAGAGAGCGAGAAAAAAGAGAGAGAGAGAGGGAGCGAGAGAGAGAGAGAGAGTGCGTGGAGAGAGAATAGGGAAAGTGGGAAGCAAGAGCAGGAGAGGGAGGACGCCGGAGGCGAGGAAGCGGGCGAGGAAGAGAAGGGGCCGCACAGGTGACGCCGATGGGGCGGAGAGCACAGCCGTGGACCTCAAGGGCCGCGGCGCCAGCCGCGCCCGCGCGCTCGGCCTGGCCGGCCAGGGGCCACTCCGCGGGGCACGCGGGCGCCTGGCGTTGCTTCTGCATCTCCCTTCCTCTCTCCTCCCTTCCTCTCCTCCCTTCCATTCTCCTCCCTTCCTCTCTCTCTTCGGGCCCTGCCCTCCTGCCCGCCTCGCCTTCTATGCCGCTCGTTCGCTCTCGAGGGGCCTCCTCCTCCCCTCATTGTCCTCCTCCGGTTTCCTCTGCCCCCCTCCTCCTCCTGCTGCTGGCCTGGCCGGACGACGCGGGGCACGCGGGCGGATCGGGCTGCGCGCGCTGGGCGGCATGGCCCTGCCAGGCTGGCTGCACCAGCGCCAGCGGCTCCCACGGTGGCCTCGCTGCGGACGCGTCCCTCCGCTGCTCCTCCCTCCTTCCTTATGGTCCTCCTCCCTTGCTCCGTCTCGTCCCGCTCCCTCCCCCCATGCCTCCACCAACTCCTCCATCCCGTCACTCGTGCTGTTCCTGCTCCACCTCCCCTGCACAGTGTCCCCCTCGTCATCCACTTCCCACTTACCCTCCTCCTAGTCGCTCCTCTTCGCCATCGCCACATCCATCACCATCACCACCATCATTACCATCATCATCATCATCATCATCAGCATCATCATCATCATCATCATCATCATCATCAGCAGCAGCAGCATCATCATCATCACCATCATCACCATCAGCATCATCATCATCATCATCAGCAGCAGCAGCATCAGCATCATCATCATCAGAATCACCGTCACCATCATCACCATCATCATCAGCATCAGCATGATCATCATCATCAGAATCAGCATCATCATCAGCGTCGTCATCATCAGCAGCATTATCATCAGCATCACCATCATCATCAGCAGCAGCATCGTCATCAGCCGCAGCATCATCATCACAAACAGCATAATCATCAGCAGCATCATCATCAACCACCACCACCATCATCAGCAACATAAACAGAAGCATCATCATCATCACCAACATCATCATCCTCAACATCATCAGCCATCATCATCGGCAGCATCATCATCATCAGCATCATCAGCATCATCATCCTCCCATCACCAACACCAACACCCCAGAATCATCATCAGCAGCAGCATCCTCATCCGCCTCATTAACATCATCAGCATCATCATCACCATCGCCATCAGCATCATCAGGATCATCACAACCATCACCATCATCAGCGTCGTCAGCATCGCCACCATCATCAGCATCATCGTCATCAGCATCAGGCATCAGCATAAGCATCATCATCACCATCATCAGCAACTATATACAAGAATGTTGAGACTGTTCGCTCCGATCTGCTCGCGTGCCATCTTACACGTATACCTCAAACTCTTAGTACCCGCCCTCCTCGTCTTCGATCGTACCCCTCTGGGGGCATATCTTCCTTGCCTACCACGTGCATGTAGCGCAGCCCTTAAAACAGGGGATGAGAGGACGGATGGAAGGGGCAGGGAGAAGGATGGAGCACGATAGAGATTAGCAGGAGGGGGCTAGGAGCAGAAAACACGTGGCAGAACTAGACGGGCAGATCGGGCGGGCATACCCTAGCGGGCGGGTCGGGAACGCGGGCCCCAACGGCCAGTTCGAGCATGCGGGTTGCTGAAGCGTGAGTACTTCATGAATCGCGAGGAAGTCTCAAGCGATAGCGCGATTCCCAAATAAATCGTGAGAAAAGCAAAAGTGAAAGCGTGACTCCTGACTGCCGAGGGCGCGGCGTCTCAACAAATTGCGAGGAAGTCCCAAGCGAGAGCGCGATTTCTCAATAAATTGTGAGGAAATATCAGGCGGGAGCCCTTGTTGTTTTAGCCGGGGGGGCAACAAAGCGGCTTGAGCAGAAAGACTTCCCCTGATACAAAAAATAAAGTGCGAGCCCCGAGGGGGGCTCTTCAAGTGAAAACACCATGTACACCGGTGGGGGGGGTTAACAATCAGCATTCTTCCAGAAATGAAACTTCAACAACAATAACAACACCAACAACAACAACAACAACAACAACAACAACAACAACAGCAGCAGCAGCAACAGCAGCAGCAGCAGTAGCAACAACAACAACAATAACAAGTTTAAGACTGTTCGCTCTTACCTGCCCGCGTACCACTCAACACGTACATCCCAAACCCTCGATACCCGCCCCGCCCTCTTCGTCTTCGATCGTACCCCCTGGGGGGATATCTTCCTTACCTGCCGCGTGTAATTGGTGCAGCCCCTACAACAGAGGAAGCAAGGACGGATGGAAGGGGGAGGGAGGAGGACAGAGCACAGGATTAGCAGAAGCGGGGCTCGAAGCAGAAAATACGTGGCAGAACCAGACGGGCTGATCGGGCGGGTAAACCCTGACGGGCGGGTCGGAAGGCGGGCCCGAGCGACCAGATCGAGCAGGCGGGCGGGTTGCTGAAGCGTGAGTGCTGCATGAATCGCGAGGAGGTCTCGAGCGCTAGCTCGACTCCTGAATGAATCGCAAGAAAAACTTAGGCAACAGCGCGACCCCTGAGCGTCGAGGGCGCGGCGTTTGAATAAATTGCGAGGAAGTCCCACGAGAGAGCGCGATGCCTGCATAAATTGTGAGGTCCCGCGCGAGAGCGCAATTTCTCAATAGACTGTGAGGAAATATCCGGCGGGAGCCGCTGTTATTGTAAGGAGGCCAACAACCCAGTTTAATGACCCCAGAGTTTTCCGAAAAAACAGGATGCGAGCTGGGGAAGGGGCACTTTAATTGAAAAACGCAATGGTCACCGGGCAGGGGCGATCTACAGTACTTATTCTTGAGACATGAAAATAATAATAAAAAAAAAGTAATAATATATATATATATATATGTATATATATATATAAATAAATAAATAAATAAATAAATAATATACAATATATATATGAATATAAATATAAAAAAAAAAAAAAAAAAAAAAAAAAAAAAAAAAAAAAAAAAAAAAAACAAAAAAAAAAAAAAACAAAAAAAAAAAAAAAAAAAAAAAAAAAAAAAAAAAAAAAAAAAAAACGTCGCTACCGACGTCGTCCTCATCATCAGCAGCAGCAGCAGACCATCATCATCAGCATGAGCTTCCCATTCATAATCTTCCACCTCATCATATTACACAGCATCGCGACCCTCGTCATCACCACCATCCTCAAAATCGTAGGCATCATCGTCGTCATCAACAACATTATGACAGTCCTCATCGTCGTCATCAAACACCACCACCATCGTCGTCGTCGTCGCCATCATCATCATCATCATCATCATCATCATCATCATCATCATCATCATCATCATCATCATCATCATCATCATCATCATCATCTTCATCATCATCAGCAGCAGCAGCAGCATCATCCTCGTCAACACGCAGAATCGTCGCCATTGGTATATTCGTCCCTCATCATTGTGTCCACTCCTCCTCCTCATCATCATCAGCAGCATCATCATAAGCATCAGCAACATCATCGTCATCATCATCGTCATCATCGTCACCACCACCACCACCACCATCATCAGCAGCATCATCAGCAGCGGCATCATCATGACCTCGCCCCCCCTGCCTCCTCCACCGCCTCCTACTACGACTACTGCTGCTACCACCACCACCACTACCACTACCACCACCACCACCATCACCACTACCACTACCACTACCACCACCACTACCACTACAACAACTACTAAGCTTCTCCTCCTCCTCCTGGTCCTCTTCCTCCTCCTCCTCCTCCTCCTCCTCCTCCTCCTCCTCCTCCTCCTCATCGTCCCTCCCTCCCTCCCTCCCTCCCTCCCTCCCTCCCTCCCTTCTCTCCTTCCCTCCCTCTAACCCTCCCTCTGTGTCTGGCCTCGCCACGGCCACCCCTGAGGCACCGCAGGGCCCCCCCGTGGGCTGGGCGGAGAAAGCCCAGGCCTGAGAGCAGCCAAAGCCACAGCGACAGCGAGGGCCCATATACCCCTCAGCGGGGGAGTGCAAGGGGAGGAGGAGGAGGAGGAGGAGGAGGAGGAGGAGGAGGAGGAGGAGGAGGAGGAGGCGGAGGAGAAGGAGGAGGAGGGGTAGGAGGAAGAGGAGGAGGAAGAGGTGAAGGGAGGGGGAGGAGGGAGGGGAAGAAGGAGTAATGAAGGAGCAGAAGGAGGAAGAAAGAGAAGGACGAGGAGCAACAGCAGCAGGATAGATAGGAGGGGGGTGAAAGAGGAGGAGGACGAGGAGGAGGAGGAGGAGGAGGAGGAGGAGGAGGAGGAGGAGGAGGAGGAGGGGAGGGGGAGGGGAGGGGAGGCGAGGGGAGGAGAGGAGAGGTGAGGGGAGGGGAGGGGAGGGGATGGGGAGGGGAGAGGGGAGGGGAGGGGAGGGGAGGAGGAATGGAGAAGGAGGAGGAGGAGGAGGAGGAGGAGGAGGAGGAGGAGGAGGGATGGGACAAAGGAGCGGTGGACGAGGAGAGACCGATTCTCGGCTGCCGATGCGGGCTTGGCTACCCCGAGCGCCGCCGGCACGGCCGCCGACGGCGAGGCGGGCGAGGCGTCGCAGCGCCCCAGGGCACCCACCGGGCCGGCCCCGCCCTCGCCGGGCAGACACCTGGCACTGGCCTGCGCCAGCGCCTGTGCGGCGGGGGCGGGGGCGGGGAAGAATAGGAGCAGGAGAAGGAGGAGGAGGAGGAGGCGGAGGAGAGGAAGAGGGAGGAGGAGGAGGAGTAGGAGGAGGAGGAGAAGGAGGAGGAGGACAAAGAGTAGAAGGAGGAGAAGAAGGAAGATCAAGATCAGGCCCTGGACCGCACTGATCGGGACAGGCAGTGCCTCTAAGGTGCAGGGCCGGGGTGGCGGAGGAGGGGGGAGGAGGGAGGGGGGAGCGGAAGGGAGGGGGAGGGGGAGGAGGAGGAGGGATGTGTTTATCTTTGCATGCAGCAGGGTGAGCGATTGCAGTTTCGTCGATGAAACTGCCGAACAACTCTCAGCTCACGCACAGCATTCGAGCTAGCGGAGAACAACCACGAGCGACACCCTGCAACGGACGCGGCTCTTCCCAAAGCCAGCAAGGAGGAGGAAGGACTGCATCGGCGACTTGCAGTATTCAGGATACGCGCGTGCATGCGCAACAGCCTTTATCCGACAATACCGTTGACCCCAATATGCACCAAGGCGTGTCAACACAACATAAGTTGTATCACAACGGATATGTCGATGACACAGCGTGCCTTACCCACAGTTGCGCGCGCACGTGGAAGCCTGCTTGGCACACCAGTATAAGAAATGAACCTGGTGCCGAGAAATCGACCAGTGCATCCGGGCTCTTACGCACTTCAGCGTCGACCTAAACGGGACCGCCGTCAAGAAAAGCCTGTCAAAATTTGAAAGGTTGGAGCCATCGAGGCTACGGAAAAGATGGGGAAGCGAGAGGAGCGGAACGGGGGTAGGGGAGAATAGGAGTTACGACAGTTCAGGCAGTTGTGCGACCTAAGCCTGGCGACGATTACTCTCCACAAGACACTGCCTCATGATTTGATCATGTCAAAATATGGAAAGGAGACGGGGGGGGAGGAGGGAGGACGAGGGGGAGAAGGGAGAGGGCGAAGGGGAAGTAAATGGAGGGGAAGCAGGAGGAGACGAGGGAGGATAGGTGAGGGCAGGAGGAGAGTGGGGGAACGAGGACGACGATGAGGGGGAATGGAGGGGGGGGGAAAAGGAGAAGAACGGATCGGATGGGGCCGGATCGGATCGGACTCATCGAGCTCGAGTCGGGGAAAAAAGGAGGGGCATGGGGAAGGCGAGATGAGAGAAAAGAGAAGGAGGAGATAAAATGAGGCCCATGCTGCAGTGGGAGCACCACGTTGAAACACCGAGAACGTTCCGAACGAAAACATACATAGGAAAGAACAACTAATGGCATCTTGTAACTTAAATTATGACTGGAGAGGGCGGAAAATCTTATGGACAGAGGCAGGCGAGAGAGGAGCGTAGTATTCATATCAAGCTAGGCGCGCTCGCGCCATATCTAACATCATACCTCTCCCACATCCCATCCCATTTCGCTGATCACTTCTCTATCCGCCAACGCGTGTCATAGCTGACCTGGAACTCCAAAAAGCGACCCTGTTGCGTTATGCGCAGCCGGACAAGGAGAGCTGCGTACATTGGGGGGGGAGGTGGCGGACGCGCAAGCGGTAAATGAGGAGGAGGAGGAGGAGGAGGAGGAGCAGGAGGAGAAAGGACTAGGATAAGGACGAACAGCAGCAGCCACAAAAGTGGCCCGCGCTGGTTGGAAAAGGAACACGGGCAAAACCAAAAAATGAACCCTGTGTAAGAGGATATACGAGGGCAGAACATCTTCCGGACAGTGTCAGGGGAGAGTAGAGATATGTACTCACATTGAGAAATGGTCGAGTAATGTTAGAGGGGGTAGGGGGGCTGGAGACGACGCCATCGGCCTGGCGCTCGAGTTCCACCTCGTAGCAGACGGTGTCGTCGCCCGCCTCCGCCAGCGTAGGGGAAGGGGAGAAGGAGGCTCCTCCTCCCCATCCCCTCGTCCTCCTCGCAATCCTCCTCCTCCTCCTCGCAAACCTCCTCCTCCTCCTCCTCCTCCTCCTCCTCCTCCTCCTCCTCATCCTCCTATTCTTCCTTATCCTTCCCTCCACTTGCTCCTCTTCGGTACTTCGGGCACCGATGCAGATCGTGGAGCTTCCCGAGGTACAGATAAGCTGACGACTCAAAATATGTCATTGCTAATCCTCCTCATCATCGTCATCGTCATCATCGTCATCATCATGATCATCATCATCATCATCATCATCATCATCATCATCATCATCATCATCATCATCAGCAGCAGCAGCAGCAGCAGCAGCAGAAGTATCATTATCATAATCAGAATCAGGATCCCTACGAATGTTGTTTTGGTACGGTTCGGGATCGTCATGACGCAACAGGCAGGTTGACTCGTGGCGTTGAGGTCCTGAGAAAGGTGGTTTGGCACGCTTCAAGACTCTCACATGTTTGTTCCCAAACGGGGCGCTTTCCTCAGTGGAAATCAAGCTTTCTAGGGGCCTATGAAGAGGGATTTTGGAGGGATCGTGTATTCCAGCATCGTTTTACACTGGTCCTCTTCCTCCTCCTCTTCCTCCTCCTCCTGATCATCATCATTATCGTCATCGTCATCATCAGCATCATTTCCATCCTCATCACCAGCATCCATCATCATCCTCATCATCATCAGCATCATCATCAGTATCGTCAACGTCGCTGCTACCATCGTTGTCATAAGCAACAGCAGCATTATACATCTCCTCATCATCAGTATGATCATCATCATCATTACCATAGTCATCACCATCGCCAGCATCATTGTCATGCTCCTCATCACCTTCCTCAACTTCCTACTCAACATCATCATCATCATCATCATCATCATCATCATCATCATCATCATCATCATCATCATCATCATCATCATCATCATCATCATCATCATCATCATCATCATCATCATCATCATCATCCGCATCACCATCATCATAGCCGTAATCATCACAACCTTCTGCATATATCTCACAATCCTCCTCCTCCTCCTCCTCGTCCTCCTCGTCGTCGCTCCGCTCGTCCACCTCCTCGTCCTCACCCTCGTCCTCATCTTCATCCCCATCCTCATCCTCATCCCCCCCCCTCCCTCCCTCCCACCCTCCCATCCCAGCCCCCAGCCCTCCATTTCCTCCCATCCCCCCCAGCCCCATCATCCGTCCCTTCCCTCACATCCCCCCCCCTCCTCTTCCCTATCATCCTCTCTCCCCCTCTCTCCCACCCTTCCTTCCCTCCCATCCCTCTCTCACTCCTCAACCTCCCCCCTCACTCGTCCATTCCCTGCCCCCTGGCCGGTGCGGCGCCCTTCCATTGAGCCCTTCCCCCCGTCCGCCAGCGGCTCAGCGCGGCAGCCGCGCGCCGCCCGCCGGAGAAGCTCCGCGAGCTCGAGCCACTCTGGGAGCTCCGCGCGGGACGAAGGCCTGTCGCCGCCGCCGCGACGGGGGGGGAGAGGCAGAGGAGGAGGAGGAGGAGGAGGAGGACGAGGAGGAGGACGAGGAGGAGGAGGAGGAGAAGAAAGAGGAGGAGGAAGAGGAGGAGGAGGAGAAGGAGAAGGGGGAGGAGGGGGAGGGAGAGGAGAAGGAGGATAAGGAAGAAGAGAAGGAGGAGGAGAAGCAGGAAGAGGAAAAAGGAGAGCAGGAGGAGGAGGAAGAGGAGGAGCAGGAGGACGAGGAGGGGTAGGAGACTGACAGACAGACATGCTCATGGGATCCCTCGTCAGCAAGCCTGGCAGGTGGATATATGTTTTTGCAATGCTTGGATCCTGCGGGGCGAACCCGCTGGGACGACAGTTTAAAAGCGCGGAAGCCGTGCAAACGCTGTGGAGGGGCGACGCAGGCCAAGACTACGCAAGTCGTCCACGACAGGACAAGAAAAGGGGGCAATCAGACGCCGCCTCCTGGCGCACTGCCCCGCAAGGAGGCGCGCCCCCCAGCTCGGGCAGTTGGCCGACACAGGGGGCCCCCGAGGGGGCTGGGAGCTCGACATTCGCCCGCTGGATCCCCACGACGCGCCTGTCTAGGAAGTGGAATTATCGGAACCGAGGTCGGGGGACGAGGGCGCGGCGGAAGGCGGCCAGAAGCCACGAACTCCTGAAACCTTACACTCCGTAACGAATCAAGCCTCGTCAGCCTCTGCCAAAAATTCTGGGCTGCCACGGCCGTCGGCTCATCTACTGAACCACGCACCTGCAACTCACTCTGACATGGGCCACAGCACTTCACCTCTCGTTCATCACTTTCGAAAGTGCACGGCGCAACGGCCCTCGAGGAGCCGCCCCCGCTTTGTAGACCCCGCTCATCTCCATCATCGCGCTGCCGAGGAGCAGCGCCACCTTCTGCCCGCGCACGTGGGAGAGATCAACCGCGCGCATGATCCGACCATCGCCCGCGCCCTCCAACTTCCCCCCCCCCTCGCCCTTCCCACTGTCGGGCTTGCCCTTGCTCGCCCCCCAGCGGAAGCACCGTGCAAGCGGCGTCAACTGGCTCGGGGTGCTCGCCGTGGTCACGTCCTTCCAGAAACCGCGCAGCCCTGTGTCACCCCTGCGTTACTCCGGTGGCCCCCTGCCCCCCGACGCTTCACCGACGCCGCGAACACTGCCGCGCGGGGAGGGCCGCGGGCCCCCCAGTCCACCCGCTCGCCCGCCTGCGCCTCCTCGCGCGGCACCTAAGACTGGACGCTGAACTTCACGCCCGCGGCCCCCTGCACCTCGGACAGCCCGCCCTTGCTTCGAACCGCTTGAACGCCATTGCGGCCACGTCCCGGAGCTCACGGGCATCCGCCAACGAGAGGCGCCCCATCGTCTTCACCGTCTCGCGCAAACCCTCGGCGCCGCCGCCTCCCCCCCTCTTCTCGGCCTGCCTCTGCACGATAGGTTCGACTTCCATGTCCGATGCGGACGCCGCCACCATCCGAGCCGGGCATCCGCTCCAGGGCCGCGCCGCCGCCGCCGTCTTCGCGCGGCCCGAGGGCGCGAGCGGCAATGCAGCACAGCACGCGGCAGATGTTGAACCAGGAGGCCACCGAAGTGATCCAGATCAGCACGCTCAACCACACATAGTCGACAATGAAAACTCTCGGGAGGGACCAGCCCACGGAACTTTCGCGCCCCCTCGGAAACGCAGCATCCCCGAATCCAGGACCGAGCAAGATGACGCCCAGCAACCAGCCAAGAGCTCAACGCCGCATGACAAGCCACTCATCTGCTTGCACCAGCACCAAGATGATTCAGCAAGTCCCGTTCGGTGCGAAATATAGCGCTGCATACCCCACCGTTTCCCCCCCCCCGCTCAAACCTCCACTCACGAGAGACCTCTGGAACGGGAGGGGGGGAGGAACTGCAGGGGGGGTACGGTCTGGAGACGAGGCACTGCCACGCGAACCTGCAGGGACCCAATCACCGAGCAATTGATCTTGACAGAGTCAGGAGCCAGCTTGTGGTCCACAAACCTGCGGGGGTAGTCCGAAAGCTCTTCCATGACCAGGGCCTCTTCTCCCGAAAGCCTCCAAACCTCCTCGAGGCCCTCCTGGGCACGGCGAGCCCACGGGGTTGCGCGCTTTGTCAGGCGACCCTGGGCAACGGGGCCGCACTGGTCAAACTCCAAGGCAGGCCGAGCAGAGCGCGCAGAAGCTGCTCGCGACTGTCGGGGAAGCGGGCAACCTGCCGGCGCCACCTCAACCGCCCGACGAGAAGCTCCTTCTCGCGAGGGGTCAACTTCCAATAACGCAAAGCTTCAGCATTGGACCAGGCAGTCGCGCGGCCCCCCTCGCGCGAGGCGCCTCGACCCTGCAACGGAACACAACGCGGGCGGGCCAGATGAGCGCCCAGACCTCGACGCTACTGAGCCGCCACCATCATCGCCTCCAATCCACTAAACAAAGCGTTCTGAACGAGCCCGATCAGGATAACACTAATCCACTTCAAAGAAAACTCGAAGGACCAGAACCCGCCCATGGAGCAGAAGCCCGCCGACGCCGCACGAGAAAACTCAGGGCCCCCGATGCCTAGCAGAGAAAGATGACACCCAAAATACCGAATACATTCGTGAACTTTACCTCCACAAGCGGGCACGGCATCTTGGGGGAGCTGTCGTTTAACCTGAGGACGCCAGGCCCGAAACGTGGAAGAGCGCGAGAGTTTTCCTCGCGTTAGCCCCGAACCCCCCTTCTCCGAGCTCCTCCTCAAGGACCTGGTCGGAAACCTCCATCCAGCTCAGAAAACCCGAAATCCTCTGAAAGCGACGGGCCACCGTGAAATTCCAGACATCGTCTGCGAATATACGGAGGTTCAGGTTCGCCCGCGCATCTTTCCACCCTGCCGTCAGCGAGCGCCGCGTTTGGCAAGGCTCCTGATACTTCCAAGAAATGATTGGCCCACTGAAGGCGCCCCTGAACAAGGTGGCGACGAATAGCCCCCCCACGACGCCGCCCTTACCTGGCTGGAGCCGCAGAGGAGCCCCCATCGGCGCACTGGCACTTGCCCATGAAATCGAAGACGCGGAACACGCGCACGCCCTTCACCCCAGGGGCCCCGCTTTTGCGAAGTCCCACTGCTGAACTGCGATGCCAAAGCCTGGAGGGTGCGAGTGGATCTCCGCATCATGCGAAAACTATAGAGCACCGCCTCCGTTAAACTGGCCACGCCAAGGCTACCTCCATCAGCTCCAACTCCCCACCGACCTCGATTCAGCCGCATATCAGGGTGGAAGCAGAACTGCCACGGCTGCTCAAGAACACGTCACCTTCCAGCCTTCTGCCACGCCTAAGACACTTGCTTGATGTCGTCTCGGGCGCGTTCTTCCATCTCCACTGTCAGGTCGGGCAGGGGCAACTGCGAACCATGCAGGGCTGGAGGGTCGACTTCCTGAGTCGACACCCAGCCAGGCATGCCCAGTACCCGCCGCGCCTGCAACCACTCGCTGCGAGTAGGCTGCGATGCTCGAACTCCGCGACCACCTCACTTCTTCGGTCCGAATCGGCACCAGCCTGCATCTCGAGATAACCGCACCGCCAAAGTTAACTTCCGAGCTCGCCATGCCGCCACGATATCCTCCTCCACGACCCTTTTCCTCGCCGCACGCCCCTGACGACACCTTTGACAGAGTCGGCGAGACCGCTCCTTCAGCTCCGCTTCGATCGCCTCTCGATTGCCCACAACGCCGCAAGGTGCTGCCCGTGTCCGACGCTCCGCGCGCCGCTGGAATTTCACGTCGAAGTGCAGCATCCCCCTGAGACTCCTCCTGTCGGCTCAGGCGAAACATAGTTTGGCCAGCCTCCACCAGCACGCGATTCGTGTAGTCGAAGGAGCGGTCAGGGTCACCCGCGCGCAGCATCTCTGTTACCCGGGATCATCCTGTAGAAGTCGGCACTCAACGAGGATCAGAAAGTCACGTTCAAGATCACCTTCCCCCCGTAGAGCGTTCATACTACTGTCACGATCCCATGCAAGCCGAGGTTCGCGATAGACCTGATCCGAAAACGCGGGCACACGGATGTGGAGCATGATGGGCAGGTGGTCCTGCGGCGAGGGGCCCTTAAATGCCTGCAGCTACGCACCGAGCCCTCTGAGTGGATGGCACTCTTTGGTCACACCGGCCATGCGCACGGGAAGGAGCATGCAGTCAATCATGGCGTTCCCGCCTGTCGTGCCAAAGTCAGTGGGATCCCACGTTCGCTGAGCATTGGCCGCCACCTGATGAAGCTCCGCAGCCGTCCTCGCAGTGTCTCTCCTGCCCCCAGCCGTCGAGCTTCACGCGTCGCAGCTGGCTCGACCACGACCCCGTCCTGCACCCACTGCTATTTCGACGACTTGCGATCCCGTCGTCAACGTCCGTGTATAGTACTGGGCAGCAACGAGCGGGGGCGGAGCTGAGAATCTCGTCGAGCCACTTGCCGAGGATACGCACCGTCTCCAGGTAGTGGGGAACTTCAGACGATTGCCTCGGCTGGCAATCCCACTTGATTCGGATCACCAGTGAGCGAACCCCTGCACCCGACAGGCTCGACCACACCCGAACAATATCCTTCAAGCGACAGGCACGATTCAACACCACCGCGCAGCCTGTGCTACTGTTGGTGCAACGACCTGGGCTGCAGTCATTCTCAATGATCCAACGTCCCTGAACGCAGCGCTGAAGAGGTTCCTCAGGTTCCCCGAACTTATGATCACAAAGACAAAGTCGAACGACCTTCACGACAAAACAATATCCTCCAGCCTGTCGCCGCGAACAATATGAGGATTCCAGTCCAGTCTCTTCGTCTTCCCCAGCCACGGCTCAAACGCGAGGCGAGCGCAAGACGCCCCCAACTGTGGTTGCTTGGCCTGCTGCCAGGGGAATCGCTCGAGCAACGTGGCAGCTGGGAGGAGCAGGAGGAAGAGAAGGAGGTGGGGAGAGGGAGCGGGAGGAGGAGAGTGGCCCAGACC